AACCGAAAGTTCTCAATGCCTTTGAGCTACCGAAGCAATATAAGGCAAGAGAGGGATGAATCCCTCTAATCGTACATTGATCGATTCCACAGAGAACTTAATAAGGTAGCTCACACTCCTGAAAAGTCTGTTTGGACTCTCATCATAGCGGGAGTTCACCCACAGACCGACCTGTGGAAAGAGTTACAGGCTGAGGATGATTATTCCCTCACCCGCTTTTATAACCTTGTGGAGAAGTACCTCCGTATTGAAAATTCTGTGACGGTGCTCCACCGTAGTGACCTCGGTGCTTCAGATAGTGCTTCTAGTCGGGGGGAAAGTAGGAGAGTTGATCGCAGATAGGCTACTGACGATCAACAAAAAAGAAAGAAACCGCACTATGAGCCCAAAAAGTCTTATGCTCTAGTTCCTCATCGCGCCTTTGAATGCATCTGTATCGACTATTCTTGACAAGTCGGAAGAAGCCAGCCTACTCAGAGAGCCTGAGCCCATGAAAAATCCCCCATCAGCCAGAAATAGTAAAAAATATTGTCGCTTTCATCAGGATAATGGGCATCACACCGATAAGTGTCGAGCTCTCAAACAGGCAATCGAAGACCTCATCAAGCAGGGGCATTTCAAGGAATATATTGATGACTCCACTTCTACGCAAGAGAAAAATTAAAGGGAACCAAGAAAGAAGCGTCGTGATCGCAAAGGTATATACAGCGTCAATTTGATCTTCGGGGGACCGCACCTTGTGGTGAACTCGTGAGATGCCCAGGAAAGATATGCTCGCACAGCCCATCACGACCCTATCAGTGTGATGAGCACAACGCGATGACCATAAAAGGTTCGCAAGGAAGAGGAAATTACCTTCTCCGAAAAGGATGCAGTTCAATTGCATTATCCCCACGATGACGCTCTTGTGATCACGCCCCTAATAGGGCGCCATAACATCCACAGAATGTTGGTGGACAACGGAAGTGTTGTGAACATCCTGTTCCAGATAGCTTTTAAAAGAATGAACTTGGACGAGGCCGACCTGAAGCCCGCCTCGATCCCCCTATATGGTTTTACAGGGGACCACCTGATCCTCAAAAGAACGATCTCGCTTCCAGTCACGCTGGGTGACTTTGACGAAGTGACCAAGGTAACTGAATTGTTGGTAGTGGATTGCCCATCCGCTTTTGATGGTATCCTGGGGCGACCTCTGCCGAGAAACTTCAAGGCAGTCACTTCGATATACCATCTGAAGATGAAGTTCCCCACCCCGACGAGGATAGAGGAAGTCAGTGGATCTCAGCGCGCATCTCGCGACTGCTATGTAAAAGCAGTGCAGATGGCATGCAAAGAGAAAGCCATCTCGCGCGGCATTCCCTGACAGGCAATGGCGTTCAGCCGGATCGAGCCACAACCTGGCCCAGCCGAGGATAATATGGATCCTCCTATTCAGGAATGCCCTTCCAGTGGGCCAGTTGAGGATCTGTCCAAAGTATCGGTCAACCAGAGCGAGCCGAGCAGAGTGTTAAGAATTGGGAGCAATCTTAACCCCAGCTCGCCACCAAACTAACCAGCTTCCTGAGAGAGAATATCGATGTGTTCGCATGGTCACATGCAGATATGGTCGGGATTAGCCCGGATATTATCTGCCATGCATTGAACATCGACAGTGAAGCCAACCGGTTCGCCAAAAGAGAAAAGTGATGGATCCAGAGTGATATGTTGCCTTGAAACTTGAGATAGATAATCTTCTTCGGAATGGAACCATCCGAGAAGCGCTCTATCCGACCTGGGTTGTCAACTCGATTCTAGTAAAGAAGTGTAATGGCAAATGGTAGACCTACGTTGATTTCACCGACCTCAACAAGGCATGCCCAAAAGATAGTTTTCCCCTGCCCAGAATCGACCAACTCGTGGATGCCACCTTCTGGCATGAGCTGCTGAGTTTTATGGACGTGTACTCGGGATACAATCAAATTCTGATGTACGCATTGGACGAAGAGCATACGTCCTTTGTTACAGATCGAGGGATGTACTGCTACAAAGTTATTCCCTTCGACCTCAAGAATGCTGGTGCAACTTACCAGCTGTTGGTTAACTGAATGTTCTCCGAACAGATCAAAAAATCGATGGAGGTCTACATAAATGACATGCTGGTCAAGTCGCATGTCGCTTCAGACCACATAGCGCATCTTGCTGAGATGTTCGACATCCTCCGGCAATACAGAATGAAGCTAAACCCCCTCAAGTGCTCATTCAGAGTATCCTCGGGGAAATTCCTAGGATACATGGTTAACCAACGGAGAATAGAGATCAACCCCGAGAAGATCCAAGCTCTCCTCGATATGAAAAGCCCGATCAACAAAAAACAGGTCATGAGCCTCAATGGGCGAATAGCGGCACTAAGTCACTTCATATCAAGTGCAATAGATCACTGCTTGCCATTCTTCAATGTTCTAAAGGCCAATAAAAAGTTTGAGTGGACTCCCGAGTGCGAACAGGAATTCTAGAGTATTAAAGAACACCTCGGGAAGCCACATCTTCTGTCCAAGCCTCTCTCGCAAGAGATCCTCTTCCTATATCTGTCCGTCTCTCAGTTCGCGGTCAATGCAGCCTTAATTCGGGAAGAGGACAGGGTCCAATGGCCAATGTATTACTCAAGCAAGCGTCTGTTAGATGACGAGATGCAGTATCCAAAAATAGAACGATTAGCTTATGCCCTGCTGATCGCTTCCAGAAAGTTGCGACCTTACTTCCACACTCATACGATCCATGTAATGACCAATTACCCGCTCAGTCAGGTCCTCTAGAAACTGGAGGCATTGGGTAAATTGCTTAAATGGGTCATGGAATTAAGTCAGTTTGATCTAAAATACAGACCGAAAGCAACTATCAAAGGGCAGGCTATTGCCGACTTCATATCAGAATTCTCATATCATCCGACGAATGAGTCGGAGCAACAGCTCAGCGAAGTCATTCAGGAAACTGCTCAAAATCTATCGACCTGGAGCCTCTACATTGATGGATCATCGAACAGAAAGAGGGTTGGGGCAGGTCTTCTCCTTTTGAGTCCTAAAGGGGCTCGCATTCATGGCATTCTCCGGTTCGGTTTTAAGGCAACCAACAATAAGGCCGAGTATAAAGCTCTGCTCGCTGGACTGCGGTTGGCCAGAGAAATGGATGCAACCGCGATCAGTATCCACAACGACTCCATACTGGTCGTTAACCAGATTTTGGGAGAGTACCAAGCCAAGGAAGAAAATATGATCAGCTATCTAAAGAAAGCTAAGGCAGCACTCAAGCCGTTCAAGCACTTCACGATCACGCAGATTCCTAGAGATAGCAACTTTGTGGCAGATACCTTGGCAAGGATAGCCTCGTCATTGGACTCAGATACACTGAAGAGCATTCCTATTCAATTCATCGAGACCCCCAGTATCAGCCCGATCAAATAGGCTGTGAATGTAACAAAATCATATTCCTGGATGACCCCTATCATTCAATACCTCGAGATGGGACCTTGCCCGATGACAAGGTCGAGGCAAGAACCCTCTGAGCAAGATCTGCTCGTTACACCCTCATCAGAGACCAGTTGTACAGGCGAGGGTTTAGCGCCTCTCTCCTTTGATGTGTAACTAGCGAAGAAGCAGATTACATCATGAGGGAGATACATGAAGGGATCTACGGTAATCACACCGTCGCACGATCTCTCACCAACAAAGTTGTTCGTCAAGGGTACTACTGGCCCCTAATCCAAGAAGACACTAGCAACTTTGTCAAAAGGTGTTACAAGTGCCATCGGTTCGTGAACATACCGCGAGCTCCTCCCCACCAGCTGATAACCATGACTAGCCCCTGGCCATTTTCCATGTGGGGAATTGACCTCATTGGTCCCATGCCAGTTGGTAAAAGGGGAGTAAAGTATGTCGTGGTCGTAGTGGATTACTTCACCAAGTGGGTCGAAGCGGAACCATTAGCCGCGATCACGACCAAAAAGGTCAAGGATTTCGTCTTCAAGAACATTATGTGCCGCTATGGGATTCCTCATACTCTTATCTCAGACAATGGTAAATAATTCAACAACGAGGAGTTCAAACAGTTTTGCGACGAGCTAGGTATTCATAAAAAATTTGCCTCAGTCGCAAGGCTGCAAGCAAATGATCAAGTTGAGGCTGTCAACAAAACCATCAAACATACTCTAAAGGCAAAACTTGGCGCAGCCGAGGGGAATTAGGCCGACGACCTCCCCAAAGTCCTATAGGCATACAGAACAACTCTGAGAACCTCTACCTCAGAAACCTCTTTTTCGCTAGCATATGGTTGCGAAGCAATGATCCTTGTAGAGGTAGAAACCGGTTTACTTCAGAGGAACCTGTACAACGAAGCTGACAATGAAGCGCTTATGCGCGCAAGCCTAGACCTAGTTGAAGAACATCGTAACAAGGCTCAGCTAAGAATAGCAGCCTATCAGCAGCGCGCAAAGAGGTTCTTCGACTCTAAAGTCAGGAGAAGAGACTTCCAAGTCGGCGACCTAATTTTGAAGGAAGTTCTTCTCGGTACTAGAACAAGTGAGGGAGTTTTAGGACCGAACTGGGAAGGCCCCTACCGCATTGCCAAAGTAATAAGACCGGGGACTTCTCATCTCATAAGGCTAAATGGTTTAGAAGTACCGCGAGCTTGGAATGCTGAACATCTCATACCATATTATCAGTAATTTCGAACTCAATCTTTCCTTGAAAAGATTTTATTTCTTGCAATCTTTGTAAATAACAAATGTATTATTTTGTTGTAATAATCTTTTCACATGTAATCTTGCTCGCATAGATGTGTTATGTTCGTATAGACTTGTCCTAATGTTATAAATGGTTAGAATGCGATCTTATATATAACATGGGGTACAAAAATCGTAAGTGCTCGAGAGATTAAGAAAGATGTATTTCATTAATAAGTACAGCAAACAAGATCCCAAAAATAAATCGGCCTTGATCCCCAACTCCTGGAGGTTCGACCTCGCCATCTCAAGGCTGGTCGCCATTCGCCTGGTCAGCAGTGGGCTTCTTCGGGGCATATTTTGAAACCTCTCCCTGATCATATCCTCGGGCGGCCTCCACTGCTTCCTCATCATCGAGCCGTGCCATGGATATGAGAGTTTCCCGCCAATCCTCTGGGAGGTCGGACATATCAATCTCCGGATTCTTTGGCCGCAAGGCATAGATGGACTGAATCGCCCATTCAGTGGCCTTTGCCTCGATCTCCGCTGCTTGGCTCTTCATCTCTTCAATCAGTGAAGTAACTCTTCCCTGACTTGCTTGGAGTTCGGCCTTGAGAGCCTGCTTTTGCTTCTCTGAGGCCTTCCTCTCCTGCTCTACTCGTAAGGCCCGCTGAGAGGTCGTTTTGAGCTCCTGGTCTTTCTCGTCGACCTCCCTAGAGAGCCTGGCTATAGTCCTCTGGAGCTCCTTTATCTCCTCCCCGTGCTTCTCGAGTTCGTTCTTTTGAAAATCCACCGTGCGAAGAGCCGCATCCCTTTCGTTCAGGTACTAGTTCGTCGATTCAGTGGATAGCTCCTTTTCTTCGTCGGCGGCTTCCAGGTCCCACTTGAGGCGCGCATTCTCTTCCTTCATCACGACCTCTCCCGCAGCAACTCCCAGCCGGACCTTTTGCAGGGATAGTTGCATGGAGAGCAAAGCCTGCGAACAAGAAGAATAATGTCAGTTTCCTACCAAGAACGAAAGGGCAAAGTCCTCGCTGAGGATTGTTCGTTTTACCTTGCTTATGGGCTGGATTGATGTGGACATCAGGTCCACATGGTTGGAACCCACGAACTGTTCAAATACTTCCGCGAGTCCGCACTCCAGCAAGGTGAAGACCACCGGCTGCAAATGATCCAGTAGTTGTCCCATCGAGTCCAGCACTAGAGTGTCCTTGTCGGTGCCCCCAGCAGGGGTGTTGCCCACCGGTTCCTTACCCGATCTCTTTCTAGTACTTGCGACCTCGCTTTGCCCTGCTTGAGATGCTCCTAAAGTAGTGAGAATGCCTGGCTGCGACCTCCCGGGCTAAACGCCCAAATCCTCCAGTTCGGACTCTAACTCTTCGGCTTGAATCTGTCGCCTCTTCCTAGGTCGCTGGGCTGTTGTCTTCTGCTTTGGGCGAGCAGCCGAAGGCTGAGAAGCGCCTGTAGGTCGGACCGAGGTGCCCACCGAAGGTTGGAAAGCCTCAGCAGGACACGCCGAAGCCCCCGATGTTGCCCCTTTGACCGGGAGACCACTGGGAGCAACTTCGGTCGTCCTAGTGGTCCTTCTCGAGGGAAAGTAAATTGTCTTTGTCGTGGAAACCTTGGCACCTTCAGAGGCATGGTTACTGCTTGTGAACGTCGTTAGTAAAAATAGTTCATTGTGCAATCGAAATAGACCCAGTTAACGCAACTTACTCGATGGGGGCTCTAAGGTCGCGTCTACATTGAATAAACCTTATCTCCATAGATTCGCAGTTGTCACGAGCAGCCTTGCATCGCGACTCGCTTCGGGCAAGAAACCAAAAGCTATGATTCTGTTTGGGTCTGTGAGCAGCTCTAAACTGGTCGTTTTGTTAACTACTAGAAAATAAATAGCTCGTTAGCAAAGGACAAACAAACAAATAAATTCGTTAGGGGAAAAGAACCTACTCGGGTCCTGGAAGCAGCAAAGGTCGTCGTAACGAAAGAAGAAAAACTTCGTCTCGTAAGCCCCCGCATTGCTAGGGTAACTGTGTATCCCTGCTTCTATAGTAGGTCACCTAGACAAGTAGTAGGAATCCTTGTCCTTGCTTTTTTTTAGGATATACCAGCAACCGAGCTCTAACGCAGTTTGCTCGCCCAACCCATTCTCACAATACGCGATGTACATGGCAATGGCAATCATGTACGCGTACGGTGTGAGTTGCATCGGTGCGATCCTGAAATGATCCAGGACCAACCTGACAAAAGGGTGGAAAGGGATCAACCCCCCACCCTTGAAGATATCCTCGGAAATTGTGACCAACCCACGTGGCAGATATCGAGCTGTGCGTGTCCTATCGCGGAAGACATCCACGCGGATAACGCATTGGTCTGTCACCCTTTCGAGCTCATCCTCAGTAAGTACCGAGTAGATCTCTCTAATAGGACTCGTAGGAGCATCCTGCGTAGACGAACTGGTCCCTTCCTCGGATTTGGTCGTTGAGGGGTCCATTCTACTACAGTTTGCAAAAGCGACAAGCAGGGAATCATTTAACCCTCGTACATTATTTCGTACGATGACATGGAGGAAAGCAAACACTTCTTCCTAAATCCCAAAAAAGCCCTAACAGAATGTTTCGAGCTGCCATTTATGGCTCGAACCCAGCAAGAACATTTCGTCTCCGATTAACTACCAGAAGACATATCATTTATCAACTACTGGGAGTAAGAAATAAATACATAAATCGATCCTTACCTCTCGAAATCAACTACTGGGAGTAAGAAATAAATACATAAATCAATCCTTACCTCTCGAAATATGAAGATGAATCCTTCTGCTTCGAATATCAGGTACGCGCTGGTTTGGAAGGCAAAGAATCCAAGTTTGCAAAAGTCTCTTGCTCTCTCTGAAAAGATGAGTATGGTGACATTGCCTTAAATAAACTTGGGTTTTATAGCAAAAGGCTGGCGCTTGGTTTTCCTAAAATCAAACGACGTTTGGGCGGAAAAATGTATATCAATATTGATCGTGACCACGTGTCGCAGATCCGCGAGGAAGGGTGACCGTCATGCTCCAAGAAAACCAAACCGTCGTCCTTTTCCATTGAAAAACTCAAGCGACGGTACGATTCTCCTGCCGCATTAAATGTGCCCCAATCTGCATTTAATGCTTTGATAGGGGATATCGTTTCAGCATGTCATGCATTTAATGAGCATGGCTGACATTTATTGCGCACAGGACACGTCTGTCAGAGCAGAAGGCATTTCATTAAATGTATCCATTACGAAAATGCAACAGATAACGTCTGAAGAGATGGTGCGTAGAACACTCTTCGTCTAGCCAGCCACGAAACAACATGACTCCTCGATTCTACCCCATTAGTCGCGAAGCGATGTGACTCTCGACGAGTATTCAATTTCAAAGCAGCCCAATCCCTTGTCCAGAGGAGAATTCCAAGTATAATCAAGTCATGAACTTTGGAAAATTAAAGATTGGTATGGTTTAAGATCAGGTCATTTATCCTTAAGCAAAGACTGTATCAGGTCACGCGCACAAAAGCGTAGTCTAGACCTCTTTTCAAATAGGTCAGAATCACTAGAGTTTCCTCGAAGGCGTCTTGTCACAGTATGAATTATAGTTTCCAAGGTTCGATCCTCAAACCTTAAAAACTAGGGGACTTCTGTCATGTCTGAAAAAGTAGGGCTGACGCAAGACCCAGTCAATATGAAAAGTCAAAGCTTAGGTAGTTCTGCAGCCAGTCAGAGGCAACCACGTCATACAATGACATGGACGGCATGCTCCTGTTGGGGCAGTGGGTGCGCGTCAGACCAGCCAGGAGCTATAGCGATTCCACGTGTCTAATCCCTGCACCAAATCGCGTAAATCGCTCTAGAAGGTGGGTAATGGGACATAAAGAAGGATTTGCACAGATAATCCCACCAACTCACAGATTTAGTAATCATAACCTTAACCCATCACACTATAAATTGAGAGTTTCTCTCTCATTTGGGGGATTAGCTAATCTCTCTAAAGGAAAATAGCATTCTCTCACTCTCGTGTAATCATTTGTATGTCATCTCGCTGAACACGACCTGACCACTATTATTAATATAAAATCAATAGACGTAGGATTTGCTTCCTTGAGCATCCGAACCACTTTAAATACTATTCTCCATTGCTTTTTCTCTCACTCTTCCATCCACGTGTGTCTTCTGGGCCAGCTCAGCATTTCATACGTGCATTTGGTTGGTGTCAAAATCACGCATCAACAATTGAGATGCTCTTCATTCTTCCCATTACACGTATTCAATTAAGAACAAACTTTATGAAAATAAAACTATACTTAGCCATGTGATTTAAAGCTTTAATTGTATTTTAAAAATTAAAAGTAAAAAAATCCAAAGATACCGTTCCATAAAACATGCTAGCTCCACGTTTCAACCTAAGCACATAATAGTTTAAGAGAACTTTATCTTTTTTATTTAATTAATTAATCCAACAAATAAACCGATTACATTTTTAAAAGAACAACTCTTCTCAAAATTCCAAAGGGTATTGTGTTGGAATCTCACTGTAAGGATTCTTTTGGTTATGAGAAATCTAACTATAAGAGAATTGAGAATTGAGAGTTTCCCTTCATTTTCTTCCAGATTCTTTTATCTCAAAAATGTTGGTTTTAAGAATGAATGATCATTCTTTCTTCTTCAACTATAGATATAATCCTTTAATAATGTGAATAAGTAACTTGATATTAATAATTTCAAATACGACTTACAACTTCCATCAAATTATGGTTTTCAAATAACATCTCTTCTCGAAATTCCAGACAATGTTGTATTGGAATCTCATTCTAAGGATTCTTAGGGTTCTTAGGTGTCACATATCCCACATTGGAAGGGAAATGGGGGCTTCTGGGTTTACAAGGGGAGGAGTCCCTCCACCTATCAGATTTGACTTTTGGGTGTGAACTCCCAAGCCATGACAAGTGGGATTAGAGTCAACCTCAGCCAGTCTTTCAGTGTCCCTCCAACCACCCACAAAGAGGAGCGTTCATGTGTGATTTTGGTTCCAAGGTTAGGTAAACGGGTAGGAAGAGAGCCCCACCTATAACGCCCTCGTCACATGATTGGATGGGACAGAATATCACATATCCCACGTCGGAGGGGAAATGAGAGGGTCTTGGGTTTATAAGGGGGGAGTCCCTCCACCTATCAGGTTAGTTTTTTGGGAGTGAAACTCACACCCCGTGACATAGGATTTAGCTACAAGATGATTGAGAATAGAGAGATTTTTTTTTTTCCATTCTTTCGATCTCATATTATCATGTGAAAATGAATGATTTATTGATCCTTCCTCAACCATAGATTTAATCCTTTAATAACTTGAATAAGCCACTAAATATTACTTAAAACTATAGTATAATAATAAGATCCACTTTGAGATATTAAAAAAAAAAAAAAAAAAAAAAATGAGAGTTGCCGCAGTAACCTTGTAGCTTGGCTGAATAAAGTTAACAAGCATTTTGCTTTATAAAAAGTCTTGACACATTTCCTTTCTTATCCAACAATCAATAAAATGAATAAATAAAACTCTAAAAAGGAGAACTATCAAAATCTGGTCTTAATCACCCAGATTTGACTTTCACCAAATTAGAAGTGTTTGTTTGAGCTTATAAACTGGATAAATTAGCTTATAAGCTCTAAACTAAACTGATATATTGGTTTATAACTTTTTTAGATTTATAAGCTGAGCTCATAAGCCAAAAAACAAATAAGTTGGGGGGAGACACTTTTTTTATTTTTATTTGTAGCTTATAAGCACGCTGCTTATAAGTTAATTTAACTAAGTATATTACTACATTATCCTTATTTAATTTTAAAATTTCATTATATAATTTATTAATTGATAAAATAATATAGTATTTTTTTTAGTCATTTTAATAATATAATGTACTTGTAAGTTATAAGCCATATTTTACCAAACGCATCAAGTACTTATCAATCACTTATCAATCACTTATAAATACTTTAATCAAACATGTAACTGCTTAAAATTTCAAATACTTATAAACTCAAATTATCTTATAAATACTAGTTGTTTATAAGTTAATTTTCATAAACTCAATCAAACAGGCTCTAATCAAGTTGATTATCAGCTCATCTAATTCTAATCTAATTTAATTTTAATTGGCATAAAATTGTCAATAT